TATATATATATATATATATACACATATACATATATATAACCTAGCACCTCTCTCACAGATTGAATTATGCCCCCAAAATATGTGTCAACTTGGCTAGGCCATGATTCTCAGTGGTCTGGCAGTTATGCAATGATGTAATCATCCCCAATGATATGATCTGATGTGATCAGCCAATCAGTGGTAAGCGGTTTACGGTGGAATACAATACTCATAATCAGCTCACAGCCCTGAACCAATGTAAGGGGAATTCCCCTGGCATATCTTACAAGGCATAAAAGAAGACAGAAGCAAGTAGGGAGGAGGGACCTACTACCACCAAGAAAGAAGAGCTGAGAGTCGAGAACATCCTTTGTACCCAGGGTACCTATGCTGGGAACTTCCTAGACCCAAGGGAAAACTGATGACAAGGGCCTTCCCCTACAGCTGGCACCCTGAATTCAGACTTCCATCCTCCTAAACTGTAGAGAATAAATTTCTGTTTGTTAAAGTCTTCTACTTGTGGTATTTCTATTATAGCAGCACTAGATAACCAAGACAATCTCCAACATAAAAACTGCTTTTACATATGAACTGCACAACCAACATCAAGCTTATAATGCTTTTTATCTTTGTAGGATTTTCATAAATATCTATTTTATTTAAGCCATACAACTGAAAACAGAGAAATCTGTCATAAGATAAACATTCTATGAAGAGATCATTCATTCCGATAAAGAAATCAGAGGCTAAGGAGATTAACTAATTTCTGTACAATCTCACTGCCAATAAATGAAATGGATGCAAATAGAACTAAGATCTTACCTCATAGATTATAGCTATTCTTCCATTTTATGATGCCTCCTATAATCTATTTCAGATCAAAAACACTCACTATATCTTTCCATCCCTCCTACAGCAAATCTGCTTCCAAAATACTCCATAACTGCCTCAGTCTATCCAATTGTGGGAGCTCTGATAGCATAGTCCTTAAGGCATTTGACTGCTAACGAGAAGGCTGACAGTTCAAACCCACCAGCCACTCCTCAGAAGAAAGGTTGGGCGATCTACTTCCGTAGTGATACTGCCTCAGAAACCCAAAGAGGGGTCATTATCAGTCGGGTCCGACACGATGGCACATAACAACAACAATCCAATTGTATGGTATTTCCTAATAAACCTCAACCCACAATGTTAAGGCACTTTCCTGTGCACCTACCAACATACTAGACATCAATTCTATAGTTTCTGAACATTTATTTGCTCATGATTCCCTTAATAAAAATGCCAGCCTTTTTCCTTCTACCTGCTTACAACTTACTCATTCATTAGCATAAATTCCACCTCCTCCATGAAGTCCTAGCATCCTGTTCCTATTGCTTTCTCTCTACTGTTTCTACAAAATTGATAAATTTCACCCAAAACTTGGCAGTTAATGAAGCTGGATTACTTACCTTCTTTCAAGTGCACTGGTCTTACTTTTCAAGCTGGTATTCAGCCAACACACATCCTGAACATACAGAAATGCTGGGTGTTTACAGCAGTGTTTGTTCTGACCAGTCAATGCCCATGCCAGTTAAATATTTTGAATTTCATCCCTGCTTACTTCCCAACCTAAACCATAAGGTCTTTAAGAACAGGAGTCATATCTTTTAAAGAAGTACTATACCCTGCAAACCAAGCTCAGTATTGAGCACAGAGCAAATGTTCAATATATATTTCATTGATTTGAAGTGCGCTGTGTTGTAAGAAACACAACATTGCTCATAAGCCATGTCTACATTGGAAACAAAGAGTTGAAAATACAGTAAAATATTTTCAAGATCAGCAGTTTAGTGTCACAGACATTTTTAAAGTATCATTTAAAGACCTCTAAAGCTCGTAACTGCCAGAATGTTTTATAAATGTTTTTACCAAGAGTGTGAAAAAGTGTTTCAAAAATATTCAACAAGTCGATGTCTCAACAGCCCAAAATAAAATGTTTGCTGAGGCCACAAGACTGGCAGAACTCTGCTTCATTTCAAAAAGTTTCCAGGCAATGGAAATGTTTTCCTGGAAAATACTACCTTTTATTTAGAGAACACTTGCCATGAACATTTAGTCATTAAGTAATTTAAGGCTTCCTCACAAGCATTTTGGAGGAAAGCTATTATATGAATGAATGAAATTATTAACACCTATAATATCTAGAAAATGGTAATATATTTAGCTAAATATATGAAATTTACATAATTATTATTATTTTTTTTTTTTTAGGTAACAGGATGAGAAAAGCTCCTGTACTTCTTGTTCTACTTACTGTTCTTTTAAATTTTTCTGTAAGATAAAATTATGGGAAAAAAACACAAAATCCTTAGAGTGTTTCTCTGTTCCATAATACACATAAATCCAAAAACACTAGTTCTAGTTTCCAAGTAATTTTGAAACAGACAAAACATGTATTTCATTCACTGAAAAGAAGTAGTAATTTCAAAGCTATTTTTAGCAAAATCTTTGCATTTGCTTCCAATCACCTCTCAACGAGACAGCACTTGGTTTGGACATTGCACTCAATCATCTGCAGTAAGTTATACAATGGAACCTAAGAGAACAATTTCTTCTAAGAGTTTTGTAGATCAAATGAAGTCTTATTCTTTTAAACATCAAAAGATACAACCTCAAGCACATGGTTTGTATACCGAGTCTTTAAAACCCTTACACAAAATGGTATTTGTTTTGTTTTACCTGTTTAGTATTTCAGTGAGTTTCACAAAGCCAGTGTAAGCCAGTTCAAATGCTCCTCTGTGCCTGGATTGTAAAAGGTGCTGTTTAAAGTAATCTCCTATGTCTTTTACCTTTAGAAAAAAAGACAAAATAAATGTTCAATTTATGTGTACATTTACAGGCTTATTTATATCAGTGTATCAATTAGAACCCAGGTCCACATACCCATCCATTTAGTACTTACTATGTGATAGGTGTTATTTTAAGCATTTTTTATAATATCTCACTAATCCTCACAAAAATTCCATGAACTAAGTACTATTATTAAATGTACTTTGCAGATTGGGAAACTAAGGGCTAGAGAGGCTAAGTAACTTAACCAAAGTCACTCAGCAAGTAAATAGTACATCTAGCACAGGAATTCAGGCAGGCTGGTTCCAGAGTCAACCACCTTTATCTGCTACACTAGAGTTGTGAGCTTCACAAAAACCTCACACTTTGATAACTCATGTTATTCAATACCATCATCAAATCACTGGAGGTGACAACCCTCACACACTAGGTCTAGGTAAAATAATTACCTTTTAGAGCTATGTAAATGGTAATTGCAAAGCAAATTTAGTACACTGGGCCTCCTGAAAAACTGACAGGCTTCATTTTGAGTCAGATTCATGAAATTTATGAGAATGCCAACTAATTGCTTTCCTACATGTTACCTCTCTTTATGCTTGAGCAGACAAATTTAACAATTCAAAGTTTTTAGATCACATGATTACAAACTAATCAACAATTATTTGCTGCTGATGGAGTGTTTTGTATGGAATTAACTGTCAAATTGGTTAGACTGATTGTGCATTTCTACCATTAGATTTGGTGGCTGTTGTTATTGCTGGAGACCTGATTGATGGCTCAGTTGGTTAAATGCTCAGCTGCAAAACTGAAAGGTAAATGGTCCAAATTCACCAGCAACTCCAACAGGAAAAAGATGTGGCAGTCTGCCTCTGTAAAGATTTTAGCCTTGAAAACCCAATGGGGTAGTTGTACTCTGTACTGTAGGGTCGCTAAGAGTCAGAACCACAGGTTTGGGGGTGTTTGGCTGCTGTTCTTATAGTAACTGCCCTTGAATTTGTGGACTTATGGCAACTCCACGCACAAAAGGACTAGATTGTTGTGCTGGATAGGGTTTTCGCTGGCTGACTTTCAGTAGCAGTAGATGATCAGGCCTTTCTTCCTGGTGTCTCTCAGTCTAGAAGCTTTGGTAATTTCTTACTAACATCTGGCATTTCTTCAAACCCCCAACACTGTTCAACCACACTGTATCAACTAAGTAATAATTTTCTGGAATTCAGATGTCTTTTCACCAGAATGTTTACTTTTCGCTTTCTAGTAAATTCTTAACAATTTGCCATTTTGACTTTTTTAGTCTGATTTTATAAAATGAATTTCTGTCTTATATCCCCTATTAGATTTTAACGCCCTTTGAGGTCAGAGAATCAAGTTACACTTCTTTATATGCCCATAACACCTTAGTAGTAAGGAAGTCAATAAATAGGTGACTTAATGATGTGGTTTTCTGTTCAACTTCATTCCAAAGCTTAAAGTGGTAACTTGCATTCAGCATAATTCAATGAATAATTATTCATAATTTCTGGAGGGGAAAAAAAAAACCTTGGCAAAAAAAATACAAAGGGCAATTTTTTAAGACTTGTGAATGCTAATAAATGTATATCCCACTTGTAGCTCATTAGGGAAAATCTGAAACAGTAACAAAAGACACAGAAGGAATGTGCAAATCCAGTTAGCCTTGAGCATTACAAAAGTTAGAACAAAATCTAAAGTAGGAATAAGAAAATAGCTAATTTCTAATAACTGGCAATTTTTTTATTCACTTAATTTCCATGGCAATAATTACTGAGAAGGGGAAAGCAGGTATGAACACTACCCACAAGTTTCTTTTTAGGAATATTAGGGGAATATATAAACATATAATTTAATACACGAGGTAGAGGAAGTTGTTTCAAAAAATCAATAGGCACAAAGTATCAGATATCCCATGGGAACAGGACCAACCAAAAATATCAAGCAAAAGCTCTACATCAAGGAAACCTCAAGCTTGAAACCCAGACACACACCAGTCAGGAAGTTGTTGAGATAAGGTTGTGCGCACTGCTTTCTCTTTAAGGGTCTCGACTTACAGCCCTCAAAGCAGGTTTTATCTCTGCCTCTCATACAGGGAGAGTATAAGAGAACCTTTCATTATGTGATTAGAGAGCAGGAGGAAAGTTAGACGTGCCTCTGAATGAACACATTTTCATCTTGGTGAAGCCAGTGAGGACACACTACTTCATAAGACGTGATCCAGGGAAATGGGCCATTTGTTAAAAAGTTTGTTAGCAAGTAGCCTTACTGTCCTGTAGCTTGCAAAACTGTGGTTGACTATTGGAAGGAGGGAAAATTGAACTCAAAGAAAAATTAATGAGCAGTTCAGACAAAGCAGGTAGCATTGTGCCATGTCAGAACATAGGCTGGAAAGGAGAAGAACTGAGTTCTTGTCCCAAGGCTGCCACAAACCAGCTCTGTGTCTTGGGCAAAACAGGGAACACTCCAGGCATCCAGGGGCTTCAGTTTCCTCTTGTACAAGAGATGAATTAATACTATGCCTGTGATTCTCCCAACTCTAAAAGCTTGCAAATGCAGCACTGAAAACTCAGTATTAGAAATGAGCACCAGTTCTCCTGATATAGCAACAAAAATCCTCAAATTGTAATCTCACTGCCTTCCAGCCAGTTATCCACATACACAGAAAGATCATGGCACCAGGACGGGACACAAGACTCATTAACAACCTGTGATATGCAGATGACACAACCTTGTTTGCAGAAAGCAAAGAGGACTTGAAGCACTTATTGATAAAGATCAAAGACTACAGCCTTTCCTTCAGTATGGATTATATACCTCAACATAAAGAAAACAAAAATCCTCACAACTAGAAGAATAACCAACATGTTGATAAATGGAGAAAATATTGAAGTTGTCAAGGATTTCCTTTTATTTGGATCCACAATCAGTGCCTATGGGAAACAGCAGTCAAGACATCAAACAACATATTATATTGGGAAAATCTGCTACAAGAGACTTCTTTAAAGTATTAAAAAGCAAAGATGTCACTCTGAGGACTAAGGTACACCTGACCCAAACCATGGTATTTTCAATTGCCTCATCTGCACGTGAAAGCTGGACAATGAGTAAGGAAGACTGAAGAAGAATTGATCCATCTGAATTATGGTGTTGGCAAAGAATACTGAATATACCATAGACTGCTAGAAGAACGAACACATCTCTCTTGGAACAAGTACAGTCAGAATTCTTAAAAAGGAGGATGGTGAAACTTCATCTCACACCTTTTGAGCATGTTATCACAAAGGACCAGTCCCTGGAGTAGGCCATCATGCTTAGTAACATAGAGGAAAACATTCAATGAGATAGAATGACACAGTGACTACAACCATGGGCTCAAAACATAACAATGATTGTAAGGATGGCACAAGATTGGGCAAAGTTTTGTTCTGTTTTACACAGGGTCACTATGAGTAGGAATCAACTCAATGACAGCTAACAACAACACCAACAACAAGCAGAATTTATACCACTTCTTTAGCAAAGGGCCAGAAAATCAGAGTGGGCTTAAAGGATTAGGCTGCAAAAGAAATCTTCCCTGTCATCTACATTCCACTCCTTGCATTTCAAATTATAGCAGAATCATGTTACTTTTTCAAGAGAAGGGTGAATGGAGAAACATCAGGCTGAACATTAGTATCTCAGCCTGTATGGAACAGCTCCTTTCATCCAATGACAGAAAAGTCAATCACAGTTCTTATTCTTGGGAATCAGAAATCCAAGTTCTACATTCTCCCTCGCCCCATGTGTTACAGAGTGCAATTGTTCCATAAAATTTTCTTGGCTGTAGTGCCTAAAGGAGGTCTGGTAGCATAGTGGCTAAAGCACTTGACTGCTAACCAGAAGGCTGGCGGTTCAAACCCACCAGCCACTCCTCGAAAGGAAGGTTGGGCAATCCTACTTCCGTAGTGATACTGCCTCAGAAACCCAAGGAGGGGTCGCTATGAGTCGGGGCCGACTCGACAGCACACAACAACAACAACAACGTAGTGCCTAAGACATCTGACTGCTAACCAGAAGGCTGGTGGATCAAACCCACCGGCCACTCCTCAGAAGGAAGGTTGGGCAATCTACTTCCGTAGTGATTCTGCCTTGAAAACCCAAGGAGGGACCACTATGAGTTGGATCCAACTCAACAGCAATGAGTTTTGGGTTGGGTAATCAACTCAGTGGCAACTGTTCTGCTTACCTAGTGCCACTCTGACAGGAATATACCACAAATGGGATGGCTTGAACAAACAGGAGTTTATTCTCTTATAATTTTGGAGGCTTCAAGTTCGAGTTCAAAGTGCTAGGCTCTAGGGGCTGGGTGAAAGCCCCTCAACCTTGAGCTTCAGCTCTACCTTCTGCTTCCAGCCCACTAAAGCTAGAGGCTTTTCTTCACTCAGACAGCTGCTGGCTACTGAGGCTGACAAGACCAAGCTTGACAAGTAAGGCACAGTCACAATGTTACCAAACAACATGGCAGGCCATTGATTCAAGTCCATTGAAAGTCCCCAGATCAGCAAGGCATAGCAGGCTGTTGAACAACAACTTGGCTACATGCAGGGTTCAAGCATGCCAAAAGCCTAAAGACCATTCCCAAAACTGTTTTCTTATATACCACATCTGTAAAGGAGTCACTCAGCTGCTTGTGGTAGATCCTACCATGGAGCTGACTGCCAGTCTCATCATGGGCAATAACTACCATCCGCTGCCCAGCCACTCAACCAGGCCCAGCCAAGTTGACATACAACCTTAACTACCACAGCAACTAACAACAACATACTTTTTAGGCAGGCAGATTACTAGGACTTTCTTTCATTGTGCCGCAGGGTAGGTTTAACCCACAAATCTTTAGTTTAACAGTTGAGCACTAAAGGTTTTCAAGTCACTTCACTGCCTTTGTCTCTGCTTGTTGTTATTTGCCATCGAATTGGACCCAACTCACAGCGACTCCCCGAGTTTCCAAGGC